GCCAGTTTATGGGAAAACAACTGTATAGATATGCAGTGCTTTTAAATCAATGGGCAATCTTTTGGATCTTTGAAATCTTAAGTCATGTAAATAGTCTGAAACATGAATGAGACATAAATTTACACTGCACACCATGGAAAAACAACCAGCTGCTCCATGTATGAAAAAGTCCAAAAGTTGGGGTCCTTATTAGGATTAAATGCAAAATTCTGACATGTCAGAGCAGGAAAACTGCACTAACACCAACAGCAGTCACAGTCAGTTTAGGTTTAACATTTTTAGGGTCTCAGTGTTGTTCCTCACTGAGGTAAAATATACAGAAAAGAGGCTTCGTCAGTGTTATTAATTACACCTGTGCTCTTCATTTTATCACCAGTGCCTCGAGGGCCTATCAGCTGCCCAGTTTCTCAGACACCCACATCACAGTGTGCTGTAACACATGGGAATTTCTAAACATTTCCCAGATGCCACAAAACCCACCATTGCCCCAGTTCAGGGAATACTCTTTTAAAGTGGTTTAGTTTGTGGAGATCCTATTAAGCATAAATGCATTCAATTACATAAACTATAGATGTATAATCTTTACTGAAATAACAAACCTGTTTTTAACTCAATTAAAACAATGTTGATTGGGGTTAAGTAAATGTTTTCTTCTTACTATTTTAGTTTATCTTGATTTTGCAAAGTATGACAAAAACATATCAGTTCCTGAACAGTAGAGTTTGAAAGTTTTGTTGTAGCATAAGAGGAAAACCTAGCTCCTAGAGACAACAGGGAGTGGGGGAGGAGTGCAAGACTGGTGGAGATCAGTAAAATATGCAGGGCAGAGACTATGAAGAGCTTTAAATGTTATCATGAGTATTTCATAGTTAATTTGTTGTGATATAGGCAGCCTGTGTGGTTGATTAAGCAGACATGTGGCATTTTTTGCTGACTTTGGGAGTTCAATGATCAGTAGAATTCGATAAAAAGTTTGCATGAATGAATGAAGTTTATAGTATGTTTGTGGGCCTCCACCGTTGTGTTGTTGAGACCAGACTGAGTTCATGATGTTGGGACTGTCTGTTGCAGAACTCATGGTTCTTTTTCATGAAGACAACTTTTTATAACAGGCTGTGTGCTGAAAGTCATGGACATACTGTAGAAAGAATTTGTGACCAATCAGACTGCTCCCTGATGGTACTACATAACACATAGAAGTATTCTTGCTTATGACAACACTGAAATTGTGAATAATCCGTTGCATTACACTAATGTGCAAGCGAAAAATTAAACATGTAATGTAGCACATGCAATTGTTTTAATGGAGCTAGAGCATTTTTAGGACAGGTTCACACAACAGTCACAATAACAAGTGCTGAGAAAACAACTTCTTAAACCAGCTCAGCAGGTTCACCCAGAGACAACTAAAAGCTACAGATTTACTTCAATTATTTTGAATGAGTCAATCACCATCAGCTTCAGCATGGGTGCAACTGTAAATGAAAGAAATCCAAGTGCCACTGTGCCCGACACAATGTTACATAAAACTTCTGTTATGTGCAAAATTACTTGGTTTTCAGGAAATGGTTGAAATTGTTTTTCAGAACTTAGTAACACTTGTGCAATACTTCCCTGCACAGATGGGGAACAAAGTAAATCATTTGTTGCGTAACAGTAACATGGCAAATGATCATTGTGGACTGCATAAACGAGAGGAAGTAGTTTAGCATAAATCAACCTGATTTATCATGTAGATACGAACTGTACCACGACGCATAATGGCAAATCAGAACATTTTCACCACCATTGTAGTTCACAGTCAAATAATTAGATTTTGGTCTCTGGATATGACTAAGCCACATGGTGCTTCATCCCGGCATGCGGTGTCGCAAGAATCACATAGCAAGCAAGACTAGATGTTTGTTTTAGTTAACACCAGAGCTAAATACTATAATTAACTCCTCTGCACGAAAAACTATCCTTTGTCTAACACATGAGCATGTGGCACAAATACTGCAATCTGGGACAGTGTACTTGCAGAGAACCTGAATTAAATGTGTATAGACTGAAGGCCATTTCTTTAAAATTTGCTTTGAGAACTGGCAGCACTTAAGGAAGACATAAAAATACTAATGAAATGAAACACAACAGATTTGCGATACAAATAATCAATTTGGCATGCATGACTGTGACTATATGGGGTGGCACAGAGAGACTGACATAATTAAAATGTTGGATGTTTTGACCAGTTGTACTTGAATTTATACCATTTCACATTTTCTTTACGTTAAAGATGTAATTATGTCTCACAGCGCAGTACAACATTTCTGGATATTTGTCTATTCATTCATTTGTATTTTACTGCACGTGATTTTCTGTCCCCTTTAAAGTTACAGTGTGTAAAATCTCACCAGTGGATGTCAGTAGACTGCAGTCAAATAATTTTGGTTTTCTTGCCCCTCCTTCAAGTGCATAATGGTAGCTACACTAGGTGCTGTACTACAAATAATTCTGGTGACTGTATATTGCCAGCCTGCTGTTTACCTCAGCTGTCAATACGCTGGGTGAAAAGCGTCAACGTCTATTTACGCTGGAGGAGGCTGTAAAACTTTATGAAAGACGTTTAACATGATTGATGAGTCAGTAAAGCTCATTTCTGTCTGATGACAGTGATACCGCGGTGAATTGTTAAGGATATTATTTTAACACTTTTTTTTTTTTGTCAGAAAGTGTTGCTGTTAGCTGCTGTTAGCCAGCGTTAGTGAAACTTACTTTGAAGTGGAGATAACATTGTTGGACTCTGAAACACCAAATAAACTCTCATACAATGTGAGAATGTAATAAAACTGTTTATCGGAAGGAAAGTGTGATTCTTAGGACACTTGAGTCTAACATTAGTCGGCATAATTTTATCTTATATGCAACTATTGCTGTTGTTTGGTCGGCTCGTTGTCAGCTGTCCTTAGAGGGTGGGGTCACATGTCTGCTGCTGACAAGCATGTTCGTACATATTTTCAGGAAATGAGGCTTGAGGAGGAGAGGTGGTGGAGATGAGGGAGGGGAGACACAATAAAAAAGAGATTGTGAAAAAACACATGTACAAATGTTAAATGGTTATATGTAGCTTGAAAGATCAATTTATGATCTTTAAATTACAAAGGTGACTCTGTTCATATGGATGAGGCTGCTGGCAGGGTTTTCGCTAATGTGTCAGGAGTATTGAAACAGTTGAGACGCATTTTTTCTAAACACAGCATCTCTGTGGTTTTCAAACCCCAAAACAAGCTGTGCCAAAAACTGGTCCACCCCAAGGATCGGGTCCCCCAGGACAAACAGAGTAATATAGTGTAAGCTGTTAAGTGCCACGAGGGTTGCCACGATTTATACATGGGGAAAACCAAACAACCTCTGGCTAAGCGGATGGCACAACACACAAGAGCTAACTCGTCAGGCCAAAACTCCGCAGTCTATTTACACCTACAGGCCAGTAGACACTCAATGATGAGGATGTACACATCCTGGACAGGGAGGAATGCTGGTTTGAGTGGGGAGTCAAGGAGGCCACGTGAAAAGGGAAAGACCATTTCTGAATCGAGGAGGGGGCCTGAAGGTACATATTTCACCATCTTACAGTGTTGTGATTGCAGCCATTCCCCAACTTTCTGAACGGTACTCATAGCCATTTGCCATCAGTGGTCACTGATCAATGCAATGGTCATGACAATATGGATATTATTGATCAAGAAACTGACTTCACAGCCCATTGTTTGTTAGTGTTGCTAGTTTCATTCAATATGTAAATGTATTGTTTATAAGGTTGGGGAAATGTGCAGTCAGCTGATACTGAAGGAGTCACTTGGATGAATGACCTAACACTTCTTCTCCCACTAAAAACGCTACGTCCAGATGAACAGAATGAACTAGTACATGGCCGGTCTTTAGCCACATATGTAAAACATTAAGCAGAACATGGATGTCCATCTTGTATTCAAGATGGCAAAGCAACATCACAACCCAGTTCCCGCTCCCATGTGTAATTTCAATTTTCTGGAAGACGTAATTACACACATCAGTGTGTGTTTATGACTACAACATTAATTTCTTTTCTATTAAATAACCTAAAAATTACCCACTGTACCTTTAAGAGCGGGGCATCTTAGAAAAAAAGAAAACTGATGATCAGTTGACCATTGGTTGAGAAATCAAATATAATGCTGTTCTTCAGAAAAACAACAAAACAAAGACTTTCTAGAATATTTCTAATACGATACATTATTTTACATCACTTCCGGACTAAAGCTGGGTACTACCCATCACCCTTACGTTTCCTGCAGTCTAAACCGGAGGGCATAGGGAGACTAGCATCGACGTGGCGTCTGTAGCGGAGGGGTGTTTGCTCCTCAGCACGCCGACTTTCTCCAGCATGGAGCAGCCACACAGTGAAGGAGGAGAGCCGTGCAGAAGCTGCGCAGCACCGCCCCCCAGCGCCTCTGCAGAGTTTCCGCTTGACACCCACGGCAGCCTGATGGGATGCATGCGGAATGTTTGAGGCGGGCTCTTTTGGAGGACCCAGGTGTTGGGACTTCGTCCAGCAGCAGGGCTTATCGCTACAGTGTTACAACACATCAGCATTACCTGGCGCTGAGCCACTTTGGACGCAGAGGTCGACGGGCACGGCTCTCTCACTCTCTTTCGCTCTGCTGATGAGTGGAGAAGACTCCTACACGGAAGTTGTTGTTGTCGGATGGCATCTCTTTCCCAGAAGTTTACAATGATGACGGGCATCTTTCTGCTCCTTCTCGCTGTCTTCACCTGTGGACTCGCGCAGGTAGACCACGATGACGCCCCCGAGGAGCTGCAGGTGGAGACCTTGGTGAGTATTACAATGCAATAGCAGCAGCTCTAACACAACTGCAGCCACAAAGATGCATGAGTGTTAACAGCTAACTCTTCTGACCAAAGGTGAAACCCGAAACTTGCTCCATGCTTTCCAGAATGGGAGACACGCTGCAGATCCACTACACGGTGAGTCCACGGCTGCTGATGTGTATCGCTTCACTGAGATTTGCAAGGAGAGAAGCTGAGTGCGTGCGCGGTTCTTGTCTATGTGGCACCGTCTGCGTGAACCATGTGGACCTGCGCTGTGTTTGTGCATTTTCGTACACACGTGAATAAAACAAAGGCTTTGCCGCGAACTGAACGGCTCTGATCGTCAGCTAGTGCTTCACTGTGTGCTTTAAATGTGGTTTTATGTTGAGATCCACTCTGATTTTACTGTGTAACGATGGGGCGGTGCAACACGTCAGCAGTAGCAGTACCAAGACCACAGCTCGTAGTTTTGCCACTCAACCTGAATATAGAAACTTACTGATTAATTATATAGATTTTAAGTGGCTAAAAATATGTAAAATCGGCTTTTTAAAGTACATAATTTTGCCATTACAACCCAGAAGTCCAAATTTAACTGCTGCAATTCTTTTTTTCATCTGGAGTAATAATTAATATAAAAATTTGTTAGTTTGCTGATGCCTCACAGGGAATTCTGGGTTCACATCCAGTGTGTGCGGCATTTGCATTTTCTCTCTATGTACTCAAACTTCCTCCCACAGTCCACAGGCAAACGTGTTAATTAATGCTACCAGTGCTGATGCATAACATCCGCAGTGGGACACATGGCTGCAACAAACTTTACATGGTCTTGACTTTGTGTCAGTTTATCAAAATCCCATTACTTCTATCTCTGAGATCACTGTCCTCTGCTCCTCCAACACAGCAGTTGGTCAAGTGGTGACTTTAAACTGGCCCCTAGGTGTGAATGTGAATGGTCATCTGTCTCTCTGTATTAGCTCTGTGATAGACTGCCAACCTATCCAAGGTGCGTTCAGCCCTCCCTGCCATCTTGAATTAGATAAGTGGAAGAAATGGATGAATAGATAATAAAAAATACAGATAATAAGAAAAAATATTATTTATATAGAACTTTAAAAAAAATCTTGTGCTTCAAAGGTGGCAACAATTCACAATAAACGTCGAAAAAGACAAATAGTAAAAGCACAAAAACTAGAAACTGTAAGCATCACTGTTATACCCATAAAAATAAAACTGTATACAACAAGAAATTAGACAATTTGAATAGAGAATAAAACATTTGCTACGCTGTTACACCCTAATTACTCAGTTTAGGCAGATGAAAAACATGTTTATTTGTTATGAATCTTTAAACTTACATTTTTTTGCACCTCTCTAGTTCACCTGGTGTTAAAAAGACATTCATTAAGGGTTCAATTAGACTCTGAGTGCTTTTTAATTGTTAATTAACGCTTCATGATTTAGCTCTTTGTGGACTCAAGTGACACAGATGGCACAGGATTGCTTAAATGAAAGTGTGTTCAAAGAATCTGCTGCAGGGAAATATTTTGGTCATATCTGACTCATATTTGGTCATTCCTTTTCCAACATTTATATTATAAAAACTGATATATGGTGGGTTTTTTTGCAGAAAGTTGCATAGAAGCTTTATATATTTATTAGATAACCAGCTGGAGCTACAGTAGCTTTGCTTAGCTGGAAACAGAAATAAGAGCTAGTTTGTTTTGTCAGAAGTAACAAAATTTGCTTCTAACATCTGTAAGTGATGGGTTGTGGATGTGTAGAAAACTGGAAGGCAGATTTTGTTCCGTTAGCTCCCTCCTGGTTCCCGTCTTAGTGCCAAGATAATCCAACCACAGACATGCCTGGCAATCAGTCTTTTCATCTAACTCTTAGCAAGACAGTGAATTACAAAACTGTCAGGACCTTCCTTTAAAGGTGTAAGCGCTGTGGCTTATTTTCCCAGACATGAATTAAGACGAGTGCTAGACGAAGAACTTTTTGCAATAGAGAAGTTAATTATAAATCTTTTCAGGGTTGGCATAGACTTAATCCACGTCTGAGAAACTCACCAAGTGAGTTTGTCTTCTTATTGCATCAATAACTCTCTCTCTCTCTCTCTC